GGAGGGAAGGATGGTCCAGGAGGGAAGGATGGGCCAGGAGGGAAGGATGGGCCAGGAGGGAAGGATGGGCCAGGAGGGAAGGATGGGCCAGGAGGGAAGGATGGGCAAGGAGAGAAGGATGGGGGGTCGGACGGGAAGGACGGTCAAACGGAGAAGGAAAAATCGACCGAAGGGACAAAAGGCAACACGACGACAGGAAAGGAAACAACACCATCGAGTACGGGTGAAGCTTCGAAGAGAGACGATCCTGCTACCGACACACAAGTCCAGCTGGATGACAACATTCGCACGATGGTGGTGGTTAGTGACAAGGCTGGTTCCAAGCTTACCGTAAAGGAGACAGAGAAGAAAGTGTCACTTAAAGATGCAGACGGCAAGGCTGCGGAGTACGAGGCGGATGAGGTGCTGCGAGCAAGCAAGGCGACTGTGGAAAACTCCGCGTTGTTGCGCGAACTCATCCGTCAGGTGGAGTCGAGTCACAGCACTGCCCTCATTCTGGCTAATGGCAAGAACCAGCAGTCCGTCAGTCAAGGTGTTGCGCTGTCAACCATAAAGGCCATCATGGCATCTCTCAAGAAGGGCGAGGTGGAAAAGGGAACCAAGTATGAGGTCTACATGACTGCTGCCTCGATGCCGACACCTTCCACGGCCAAGGATCTTTTCGCCGACTCGGTCGCAGCACCAAAGCCTGTGCGTATTGGATCTAACCCCATATTCGGTGCTTGTCTGATGGACCTCAAGGAAAAGATGCCGAGGAACGAGAGCGATGCTGAGTCCCACTTGCGTGGTGCTTTAAAGAAGTCAACCGATCCAAAGGAACCTGTCCTGGTGCATCTGGTGGTGAAGCAGATCAAGAAATCGACCGGTACTGGCGTTGGCGTGTGTCTCTCGTCCGTGCAGTTTGTTTTTGCCAAGGAGCAAGGCGACTATTTCAGGGCCATGCATGACAAGGACGAGAAGGTTGTGCCTCTTCCTCTCTTCAAGGAGGTTGTGGGTGGCAGTCGCTATGCAGTTGTTGTTGCTGCTGTGTCTGGGGATGATGCTGCCAGGGAGACGGTAGTTCTTTGTGGTGGTGCTAAGCTGCGGGGGTCAAGAGGTGGGAGCCCCACTGTGGCGGCCAATCCACTAAAAACAGCGAGTTCTGCTGGAAAAAAGCCTACTGAAAGTAATAAGAAGTCTAAGCGCGGGGGTTTTTGGAGTGGTGGGTGCTGCGGTTCTGCTCCGGTGGCAGAGAAGAAGTGATGCAGGTGGTGAAGCGGGTGCTGTTAGAATGCGTCTTGTAAGTCACTACAATTTAAGGATAGACTTGGACATGCGGGGGGCGGTTGAAATCTTGTGGATGATGAGCAAGTAGTTAAATTTGTTGTTTTATTTGGCCAATAGAGGTTATCACTCGGGGATGCTAGAGACTAAAGCCGTTATCGTGAACAAAAAAGAAATGTGTGATGAGGTGTCTGCGTGCCGTGCATGGGCATTCCGGAGAGCAATGGAGTGCCGTCAATGACACTCTTAAGGTAAGGCTGAGCATCAAGCCAAGATGCAGCATAAACTGATCACACTGACCGGGAACAGCGCATGAGAGCCATTGGAAAAAGCGGGTATTCCTGTAATCAAAGATGGTTGAATTTGGTGCAGAGGGATGGCCTACGCCTCGTGCCAGTGTTTCTAGTGAAAAGTTTTTTTGGGAATAGAAACGCATCCCTCCACATGAAAAGAAACCGCCCTTTCAAATTTAGCTCAGTCTTTGTCTAATTCCTCAGCAACTCTCTGTATGGCACGCAGAGCCCGAGAAACCGAGGACCGCAGAGGTTGGGGGATGTGTTTCTCAGGTGCGTCGAGGTCCGTTGCGTCGGCCGAACTCAATCCGAGCTCGACCCTTGTTGAGCAGTTTGCATCGCGTGTTGGGCGCCTGCGAAGATGTGCTGAGGCTGTCCCTGTAGTGAATGGACCTTGAGTGTGGTCGTGCCCCCCTCTAGTCATCCTCTTAGAAAGAAAAAGTGCTACGATGCGGGAAAGGTGTCCCTTTTTGTGGTGTACGCAACAGAAGTGGAGTTCCATCCATTTGCGCCCATCCCAGTAAATGGTAGAAGCGTTTCCAGTCTCTCATCTACTCTGGTGGCAAATGTCCAGCCATATGGGGGCCATGAATTTGTCGCGCGGTTTTTGTTTGTCACATCGCAGACTCTTTTATGGGAGCAACTAGAAGATAAAAATATGCTTTGTTTTTGTTTTTTGAGCCGGCAGCGAAACTGGCTTGACAGGCGACATGTGAATAATTGTTCTGCCGACCCACACAATAACCCTCTCGTTTGCTTTTTTTTTTGTGTTTTTGTTTTTTGCGTTTGTTTTTTGGATTCCTGGGTGTATGCGATTGACAGACGGGCCACCCCTGGTGGTGGCCACTGTACAAAGCAGGGGCAGTGGCATACGATGGGGGCTCTGTGGGTGGGCTTGACGTTGGCCAAAGCTCGGTAGCCAGCGCATCCATATAGTTTCACTTGCTTGTTTGTTATTGTGTATTTGTGAATATCGAAAATGAAACGTTCCTTGTGAATAAAACGTTTTTTATGCGGATATGCCCACTATTATTATTCAAGCATACCATGTCTTCTGATGTCGTCAGGAAGTATCGCATAGAAGACGGCCGGGTGGGCGTGTGTATGTTGGCGTGCTGGCTATGACAGGTGACGAGTGACGCGGGGGTCAGTGTTTTTTTTTCTGCAGACAACCCGTAAGCATAGCCTCTGCCTGTTGCTGCACGGCGAGCCATTTTCATTCTGTGGTGGTATTCGAAGCAATGAGGAGTAGTGAGGCAGTTTGAGTTGTTGCTTTCAAATAAGAAAAAAGAGTCAGTCGCGTTCTGCTAGCGCATCAACGATTGTTCTGAAGAGTTACCCTGCACATGCACAGCGGCCGCGCGCCCCCGAGGTGTTGAGGAGTTTCGTGGAGTGGAGACCCGCCAGAGGGGGTTAGGCAATAGAAACAAAGGACCAACCAGAAGAAATGCCTGAAAGAATAACGGTGATGTGTGTGTTTTTCCCAGCCTCGGCTCCAACCCCATCCTGATGTGTACTATTGTTCAACGAGATGAGGCTACTAAATGTGCGTGTCTCAAGAATNCCAGCCTCGGCTCCAACCCCATCCTGATGTGTACTATTGTTCAACGAGATGAGGCTACTAAATGTGCGTGTCTCAAGAATTTAACCTTTTTTCGCAGTATTACTGTGAAATGTTGTTTATATATGCATGGCAACTCGTAAGGTAGAAAAAAGACAAACCAGATTATTGACTCTTCATGAATCTTCCTATGTGGTTACTGTGTTATGCTGACGGGTCGTTTTTTGCTTTACTAGTAGTAGAAAATATATCGAGGCATGTACACTCTTTGGAGGTTCATTGCACTTAACGGCGCGGCAGAAAGGTGTGTGAAGTGCGGCGTTCAATATCGCCAAACGTGTTTCGTTTTATAGTTTGAATTTGAGATGCGCCATCATTGTAAAAAATATTGGTTATATATATATATATATATATATATATATATAAACAAGATTTGCGGTTTGTTTTGCCGAAAACTCTCACATCTGCGGCAAGTGCCTCCGCAAGGCGCACGCCAGGAGGGAGAAAACAGTATGACCGCTGACGGTTGGGAAAAGAGGACAGCCACGGTGTGACTCCTTGACCAGGTTTTCGTTGGTATCATTGTTGTCTATTCAAAAAGATGATGATGCGGGCCCGTGCACACATGCCGAAACACACTTTTGGCTAGAAGTCTCTATTGTTACATTCTCGTTTTCTCTCTTGGCTGTTCCACTTCATCGAAGTTGAGGATCTAGAGTGTTGTTCATTCTGTGGTGAAGGAAGGAAAAAGAATGCAAAGCAGCGCCACCAGCAAGCCGGTGCCGCCGCCAGCGGTGTCCCCTTCAGGATCCATTCTTCAGCGTCAAAGCTCTATTCTTAAAAAACAGGAAGGAACTGGTACCACGGCAACAGGAAAGCCTGGCGTGACAACGGGAGGAACTGCCACCACAGCAGCAGGAAGGCCTGGCGTGACAACAGGAGGAACTGCCACCACAGCAGCAGGAAGGCCTGGCGTGACAACAGGAGGAACTGCCACCACAGCAGCAGGAAGGCCTGGCGTGACAACAGGAGGAACTGCCACCACAGCAACAGGAAAGCCGGGTGTGACAACAGGAGGAATTGGTGGGGCGGGCGCTGGGCGGGATGCCAGTGCATATGGCACATCCTCCCGACCCAGTGGAGGGCTTGGCCAACCCAACAATTCCACAGGAGGATACCCGAATCAAGGATCAACGTCAACCACTTCCGCAGGCTATGGATCAGGGCCGTATGGGCTTCCCAACCGAGGCCCCGGACCGGTAGGTAATTCTATGGCGGGGGGTGCAATGGGGGCCGCGGCGCCACCTCAAAACGGTTCAATGGGGGCCTCAAGCTTCGGCCCTGGGGGCTCTTTCCAGCGTCCGGGCTCTATGGGCAGTGCGTATGGCATGCCGAGTGGAATGGGGGGCAGTTTTTATGGTGCCGGAGCAGGCGGAAGTGCGTACGGATCAGGAGCAGGTGGAAGTATGTACGGGCCAGGAGCAGGCAGAAGTGCGTACGGGTCAGGAGCAGGTGGAAGTATGTACGGGCGAGGAGCAGGTGGAAGTATGTACGGGTCAGGAGCAGGCGGAAGTATGTACGGGCCAGGCGCAGGCGGAAGTATGTACGGGCCAGGCGCAGGTGGAAGTATGTACGGGCCAGGCGCAGGTGGAAGTATGTACGGGCCAGGAGCAGGTGGAAGTATGTACGGGCCAGGAATGGGGGGCAGTATGTACGGGCTAGGAATGGGGGGCAGTATGTACGGGCCAGGAATGGGAGGCAGTATGTACGGGCTCGGAATGGGAGGCAGTATGTACGGGCTAGGAATGGGCAGCAGTATGTACGGGCCAGGAATGGGTGGAAGCACAATCGGCCTGGGAGGACATATGGGCAGCATGTATGGTACAGGGATCGGCATGGCTCCGCAATGGGGCAGCATGGCGAACATGGGCCACAGTAGCTCGCAAGGTAGCATATATGGCAGCGACGTCCTCCACAGGTCGGGCTCCAATTATAAAATTGATTTGCTGTTCCCCAATACTTCCACCCTTGGTAGCGAACGACTGAAACGCAGTGGTAAGCGTGGTGGGCAGGTTACCTCAGGTAAAAGGGGTGATAAAGGCACGTCGGCAGCGACTGGTACGTCGGTTTCCAAACTTATGGTTCGAAAAACGAGCTTCTCAAAGAGTGAAGACGCGGATTCAAAGGCAAAAACCACCACGAGCACAGGCGCCAATGGAGTTGCGAAGGCAAAGGTTCCTGCGAACTACAACATTCACTCGCTTGTCGTTCTTGACAAGGAGGGTGACGCATCGAAGAATGCGGTAATGTCTGTAAAGGATCCCAAGACAATTGTGTTCAAGAGGCCCGACGGAAAGGATGAAACGTTTGAAAATGACGAGTCTCTTACGCGTGATAAGAAGACGAGCAGCGTTAGTTCAGTTCTTCTTCTTGACCTACAATCGAACTGGCTTGCCGGGCACACCTCGGGGCTCCTCGTCGCTGGTGGTAAAGACCGTGGCGAAGAAACTGTCTCGTTCGCACGGGAATTTCTCATGCAGTCTTTGGGGAAGGTTGAGAGCGAAAAGAAAGAAAAGTCCATCACATTCGATGTCACCATTACAATGGGCGCCGTGGAGTCCTCCGACCGAATTCTTGATCTTCTTGACCCTGACAAAAGCACGTATGAAAAGATGCAGCTTGGTTCAAGTCCTGTGTTTGGCCCGTGTCTCCGTGGTATGAAGACGAAGACCGTCACCTCTGCAAAGGACTGCGGCAGCGCCTTCGATGAGGCCATCAAGCGTAGTGACAATAAGAAGAACTTAATTGTTGGGTTCTTTGTACTCAAGCAGATGAAGAAGAGCACCAAGGAGAACGAGGTCCACCTGTCCTCCCTATGTTTGGGAATCGCCAGGGAGGAGATTTCCCATTTCATTGGGCTAAAGGAGAAGAGCAAATCGGAGCCATGCACACTGTTCCGTTATGCTGTTGGTGGTGGTAGTGTGACAGTAAGTGCGTTGTTGCTGTCGGACCGCGACGCCGAAGGCCGCAGGGGCCTCGAGATGGAGCGAATGATGCGGGAGATCAAGAACTCGCCCCCTCGCAGCGGTAACATCAAGCGCTGCCTCGAGATGACAAATAAGGAAATAACTCGGCAGAAGGAAAAAATGGGGAAGATGGGTGATACGGAAAAGAAGTCGGTCGAACGCATGTTGGCTCGCATGGAGATAATGGTGAAGGACTGCGAGGAAATGCTGTCGAAGCCGGAGACCACCGCGCCGAAGGGATACGCTATGGGCTAAGAAACCGCTAATGTTTGCAGGCAATAAGGCACACACAGGGGAGGTAGCCAGTTACTGTTACTGAATAGTCGTTTCCCCTTCCCCCTTTCATAGTGCTTCTCTGGTTTTATTTCTCTTCCTACATATGTCTTTTTTTCTTCTTTGGGCCTTTATTCCAAATCCTCTCTTTTACATTCCTCTCCCCACCGCAGAGATGCGTTTTTTTTTTTCCTGTCGTTTATTTTTGTTTTTGTTTTTCGGCTGCGTGTGTGTCGGTGTCTGTTTAAAAGAATGTGTAAAGCAAAAAAAAAAGTAAAGGAGTGGGAGTCATTAAAGGCTTGATGAGGGAAACGTAGGTGTTTTGTTTGCCGCCGTCGCATTCATAGTTCTCCAAAAATGGGGTCTTGACAGTACGAGAGGAATCAGTGTGAGATTATTGACAACAAAAAAGAAAGAAGAGCGAAAAAAAAGAGGGGGGGCATTACGAGTGGAAACTGTCAATGATAAGTGAATAAAGCACTTTTTGTCCGTGCCCTCCCTTGTGTTGAGCCAAGACAGAAGTGCAAACGAATATATTCATACGTGCATGTGTATATTTTGTTGTTGTTGGTTAACGTGCAGGGAAAAGGGGGGGAAAAAAAAAAAGAAAAATCTGGCCGCTGCTACCGAAGGATCTCCCTGGAGCAGGTGCATTGATGCGTTTTGCATCACTATCTTACTGACATTGTTCTATAGAATCGCGAAGGCAGATTAGGGGCCAAGGCAAAAGAGGCAATAAAGAGAAACACAACGGGCTATTGTGAAAAAAAAAAGTGGTGTGCAATGGGTGACGTAGCCGTCCGGGATAACAAAGAGAAGACCGCATGTTGTGTACAATACATTCTTTGCCTTCCCCATCATATATCAGCCCATGTTTTTCCCTAAGAGTAAGGGTGTCCCCTTTGATCCATTTGCCGCCGCCAGTTTTTTAAGGTTTTTTTTTCGCCCTTCTTTAAATTACTGGGACAGTCTGAATCTTTATTTTCTTGACCTCTTCGGTGCCGCTTGATTAAATTTCACACGATCTTTTTCGTTTGGTTGTTTTTGTTGTGGTTTCTAACTTAGTTTGGCTAAAAGCGAGCAGGCATACACTTCGTAAGGCTTCAAGAGAAATGAGTTCCAGGGCTCCTGTTCGCACCGTGAACCCTTCCCGACCCTCTGCTGGGCCCGCGAACGGCGCAGCAGGACCCGTCCGGCCTTCGGGTGCTTCTGCCGCGGGGAATCCTGTGCGTAGCAGTGCGGGACCAGTCCCTGCAAAAAGTGGCGTCGGCTCCGGGCTTGGAGGCCCTGCACCCAGATCCATGGGTGCAGCGCCACCGCGCCCAGGGATGGGCGGAGCCCCACCCGGTGCCAGACCGGGAGCGGGGATGGGCGGAGCCCCACCTGGTGCCAGACCGGGAGCGGGGATGAACGGAGCCCCACCTGGTGCCAGACCGGGAGCGGGGATGAATACGGGTTCGTCATTTACCAATGGAGGAAGCCTTTACAAAGGAACGAGCCAGCGCCCCACATCCATGAACGGCAGTGGGTACGGCGGGGGAAGCCTTTACGGAGGAACGAGCCAGCGCCCCACATCCATGAACGGCAGTGGGTACGGCGGAGGAAGTCTTTATGGAGGAATGGGCTCACGCACTGGCTCTATGGGTGGCAGTGGGTACGGAATGCAGCGCCCGAGTGTTGGTGGCCCAATGGGGAGCGGATATGGTGGCTTCGGCTCGATGAATGGAATGAACAGCGGCTACGGTTCCATGTACGGTATGGGCGGTCCTGCGGGCGGTCCTATGCCCATGGGCAGTATGTACGGTTCACAAATGGGCAGCATGTACGGCATGGGCGGTCCAATGGGCATGCCCATGGGCAGTATGTACGGCATGGGAGGTCCAATGGGCATGCCCATGGGCAGTATGTACGGCATGGGAGGTCCAATGGGCATGTCCATGGGTAGCATGTACGGCATGGGAGGTCCAATGGGTAGCATGTACGGCATGGGCGGTCCAATGGGTAGCATGTATGGTCCTATGGGTCATCCAATGTGCATGCCCATGGGCAGCATGTGCGGTCCTATGGGCATGCCCATGGGAAGCATGTACGGTGTGAACAGCATGTACGGCATGGGCAGTATGTACGGGAGCATCATTGAGGCCGCATCTCGCCGCAACAGCTTCCTTGCCCGCAATGACCTAATTCGTGCATCGGTGAGTTCGACGGGCAAGGATAAGGATAAGGATAAGGATGACAAGAAGAAGGAAGAGAATAAGAAGGACAAGGATGATAAGCCAACTTCGACTGGTCCCACTACCTCAACGTCTACCTCCACAAA